GGACTCACAGAAGATCTCTGGGGATCCTTAAATTGGACCATGGAGACCGACACTTTAATTATTCAAACAGCACCCCCACTTTGAACCTCATTTAACGAGACCGAGCGGGAGGAAGCAGCGAGACAATGGAGGGGGGAGGTTCTTACGCATCTTCTGTTAGAAACTGTCTGGTTAAGGCCTGTGTGCTTGAATGAGGCGCTGCTGCCCCCCACGACCTTGAAGTGCATCTCTGATCATAACCCAGATCATAACCACTTTATCCCTGCACACAGGTGCTTTTTTTGGACATCTAATGTTATGACCAGGAGAGTCATCGGGGAAAGGCAAATGAAAACCAAAAATGACATTAAGTTAACCAACCATTCAACAACCAAACAACCAAATCAAGTAACTAACCAACTAATGAAGCCAAACCAACCACCCAACCAACTGATCAATGAACCAATCAACAGACTAACTAAAACTAAACCAAAGTAACCCAACCAAATCAAGTAACCCAACCAACTAACCCAATCAAACTGAACAACCCAACCAACCAAAATCAAGTAACTCAATCAAACCAACCAAGCAAACCAAACAACCAGCCAGCCAGCCAAAACCAAGTAACCCCAAACCAACCAACTAAAATCAAATCAACAAACCAAATAACCAAGCCAACCAAAACCAAAAGTCAAGTAACCCAACCCAATCAGACTAACTAACCAAAAAAAAATCAAACCCACCAACCAACCAAAACAGCTGCCCTACCAAACGGCTAACCCAACAAACCAACTAACCAACCAAGCAAACCAAAAAAACCAACCAGCCAAAAATCAAGTAACCCAACCAAAACCAAGTAACCCAATCAAACCAACCATCCAAAACAACCAACCAGACAACTAACTAAAACCAAGTAACCCAACCAACCAGACTAACCAAACAACCATCAACCAATCTAATATCGCCAAATACAACAGCAGAGCCCGTAGGTGCCCTTCATCTGGGATGATGTTATTCACGCCTGTTCCTTCGCTGCATGGCGGGTATGTGAACGCACTTGCTCTGCAGCAGGCGGTGCTCCTGCTCGAGGGCACGGTGAGCGACCTTCAGGCACGTGTGCTGCCCGATGAGCTGCTCATACTCGGCTGCCTGCCGATTATGCAGCTCCAGCAGGCGCTCGTGCTCGTGCAAAGCCGCCTCACGGCCTGCCCGCTCCTCCTCGCCTTGTTGCCTCAGTTTCTCCGCCTGGCTCTCCGAAGCCTGTATCTGACCCTGCAGTGCCGTGTTCTGGGCCAGCAGGGAGGCACTCTGGGAGCCCAGCGCAGAGCTCTCCACCTGTAGGGGGCGACAAGCTATAGCTGACAGACACAAAGTAAGAGGACAAACTGTGCTGTCCTAGGAGCCAACAGCAGAGCAGATTAAACAAGGCTCATTTCGGAGGTTCTGATCCAGCCTGGCACGGGCCTGACCTGCAGCTTGGCCATTTGCATGTGAAGTGCAGTGTTATGTTCCTGCAGGGCGGCTGTTTGCCGCTGCAGAGCCAGGATCTGCGCACTCAGCTGCGTGTTCTGCACATCCAGCTGCTTCAGCTGCTCCCTCTGCAACTGCTTTTCAGTCTCCAGAGCAGCATTCTGCAGAAAGCCACAGGTTACAAGAAAAGCCAAAGCCAGAACTTGCTGCAGATGACCGTAGAACTTTCTGGAGCAGTGTCAGATAACTGCAACTGCTCAAAGACAAAATGGCTGCCTGTTAACTTTGCTGTTAACATTCCATATCTGCATCCTAAGGCTAAAAACTGAAGCTACAATGGCTGGAAAGTATCTATGACATATTTTGCCCTCAGTCTCCAGAACTATTCATAAACTGTGGATGCAGCTTAGTTTTACAGCTGTGCTCTCTTAAACCTCTTCATTCCACCTGTGCTCATACCCAGAAAGATATCAGCATCATCACCAGCTCAAATGAAACGGAAAATAAGCTGTGTCTTCTGTAGGTCCCCGATCCCTGCACTCCTGTACTGATCCGAAATATATGTCTACTTTTCCCTCCCAGTGCCCGTAGAGCAGTGTTTCCCAATCCGGTCCTCAGGGATCCACAGTCGGTCCATGTTGCTGCTCCCTCCATGCTCCTTGCCAGACAGACCACATTTTTGCTCCCAAAAAACGTGGAGCAAAAACATGGACTGTCTGGGGGTCCTCAAGGACCAGATTGGTAAACGCTGCCTTAGAGTCATGACCAGACAGGGGGCCTCTTAATCCATAGTCCAGCCCCCTGGAGTGTCTAACCTTAACCCAAACCCCCCCTGCCTCCTCAGCCGCCCCCAGTCTCACATTTTTCTCGACATCGATGAGCCGGTCTTTCAGCTTGAGCAGCTGTGCTGTCGCCTCCCTCTCCTCAGTCTCCCACTTCTCCTGGCTAGCCTTGGGCAGGCTGGGATGCAGGTGGGCCTCCTCTTCCTCCTGCCTCTGCTTCAGGGCCTCCAGGCTCTTCTTCACCTGTGGGGGTACCAGCTCATCGTAAGCTCTGTGGGGTTCCCCAGCAGTGACCTCTGGGTATGAATCCATGTGCCCCGCTGTCTCGGGGTTTGTTGAGGAGAGCACTGGCCACATCTGCTAGCCCAGGTAGGAGGCCAGAAGGAGTGCTTACAGTGGCCAGCTCCGTGCGCAGCTGCAGGTTTAAGTTGGTAGATTCCTGCAGCCTTGACTCCAGGCCCTGGATCTTCTCCTGACGGATCTCCATCGTCATCTTCAGTGTCGAATCAATCTTGGTTTCCAGGATCTTATATTTACTGAAAAATCCCAGTAAACATATTAAAATGACACCCAAAAGCCTCCTGCAGTCTTAACAGTGGCACCAAGACCTATAGGACAACCTCCTTTTCTGGCGTAATTTGCCATACATCGTGAGAGACACTGTAGGGGTCAGGATTACGCGGGACTTCCTTTCTGAAAAAGGCCTGCATTAGTGATTTTACAGCAGCTGCATGAGACATTCCTTGAATTCACCGCTCAAATTTCAGCCTGAGGAAACCCTGGGTACACACAATCCACACAGGGGTCGTAAGCAGATTTGGCATGTTATGTGTAATTATATTCAGACTTAACTTTCACAGTAATTGACAGTGTCTGACAAGATCTGTTAATATGAGGTAAGAAAGCTGTGGTCCATATTAGATAAGACCAGTTATTTTAATCTACTGGGAAAAGCTAACTTTAAATGCACTCAGAATAATCGAATGTTTTCTACATCGATTTGTCAGATTCTCTTCCCTAGTTGGGGGGTTTTACTCAGACATCTTTGGTGGACTTCGTACACACGTCGGAAAACCCCACCGATAAACTGCGGCTGGGGATGAAACAGGCTAGGTGGGTGCAGCAGACGGCTCCGAAAATTTACCATGATCACTTGGAAAGAGGAAGTGATACGACTTTACTGAGAGACAGATGGTCCCTGGAACTAGGAGCACAGACATGAAGCATTCTGAAAAACCCTTTAACCAAAAGGTTAAGTGATTAGTGATTGTTGACACACCACTGCACAACAATGAAATGTGTCCTCTGCATTTAACCCATAGAACCCACAGTTAAGACCAAACCGCCATGTTCCAGAGACATTAAAGGGAGTGGCCACATCAACATAAAAACAGCAGAAGATGCTATAAATCAAACATCCTCAAAAGCATGAGGGATTCATTAAAACTACACCATACAAGGCCTTAAGAGAACAGAATCGACCTGTATTGTTGCTCAAATTAAGTCAAACTGAATCATGGAAATCCACAGGGCCTGTGCAGGAAAGCGCTAGATTAGCAATCACTGTGTTCCATTTACTGAAACAGGCCGCCAATATACTGTATTATCATTGGCTGTTTGAGATCTGCCTAATGTATCATTTCTGCTACTGAAGGCAGGATACTGTTAGTGCGACTGATTAGTGCTGATAATATGTTTTGCTGGTGCTAATGATCATTCACAGTGGATGGGGTCACCTAGAGGAAATATTCACAGCATTGCATGTACGCAATCTGCAAACCTTACTTACCAAGAACAATATGAACAGCAAAATTATCATGTGAATTTATCAATTTTTACACACACTAAAGAAATATCAGTTTTAATCATACAACCATAACTTTATAACTTTGATTTTCAATTCTAAAAATGGTCTCAGATGCAGGGTTCCCCATCCTAAAATAGTCAGTATTAACCGATAGCTGCAGTTCCGTCTGTGGCCTCCAGGAGTGCTCCTGCTTACATGTCCTCACAGCTGTGCTCCTCCTGCAGCAGCCTCTCACGGTTCAGCCCGATCTTCTCCAGCTCCTGGCTAAGTTTCTCCAGCTCATTCCATTGTTGCTGCCCCTTCAACTTCTCATTCACCAGGTCCTACGACACAAGCAGCACTGATTCAGTCCACCTGCTTAAGCTTCACTCTCCCCATAGCAACACAGGGAGAACATGCAAACTCCACACTCAAGGAACCCTGGCAGAGACTAAACCCTGGTCCCACAGGTGTGAGGCAACAGCACTAACCACTGCACCATGGCATAATTAACTTACATTTCACTGATAATATTAAGGTTATACTAAAGCCTCAAGAAAAATTTTGGTATGGATCCCACTGCACCTCTCTGAGGGTGGCGAGCGTCCTCTTGTCGATGGTGGCCTGCTTCTGCAGCTCCTTGTTCTCGCTCTCCAGCTCCTTAACCTTGGCTGATGTTTCCCTCAGGTAGTTCAGCTCCTTCTCTCGGAGGCACCCCTCTTTCTCCAGGCAGGACAGCCTTACCATGCCCTCATCCAGTGCAGTTTCCTTCACCTCCAGCTTCTGCCGCAGCCACCGCACCTCCTTCTCCAGCTGCCTCCTCTCCTTGACGGCCTGGCCCAGCTCCTGCTCGAGCACCTGCCCCTCCTGCTCCAGGCTCTCCAGACGCCTCCCTGCTGCCTGCCGCTCCTCCAGCTGCCTCCTCAGCTGCTGGCTCTCCTGCTCGGAGTCGTGCAGCTCCTGCTCCAGCCCCCTGACCCTCTCCCCGCTCTGCTCCAGCGACTGCTGCAGACGCTGATTCTCGGAGTCCAGGTCCTGGTAGCTCAACTCTAGGCGCTCTGCCTTTTTCCCCAAGCCCCGGAGCTCCTCCACGGAGTGGACAAGCTCCGCACGTTCATGCTCCAGCACGGTGTTCTCCCGCTGCAGCTGTGGGAGCTTAGCGGCCGCTGGCCTTAGGGCCTCCACCTGCTGCCGCAGCTCCTCGTTCTCCTCCTCCAGGATCTCCAGCTGCAGAACAGTGTTCTGGGCTGTGTCTTCCAGCTTCTTCAACCGCCTGTTGTCCTGTTCTAGGGCAGAGTTATTCCGTTCCAGTGCTTCTGCATGTTCGCGGGTGGCCTGCAGGGCGGCGCTCTGCTTTTGCAGCTGGTCACAGCTGCGCTCCAGCCGGGCCACCTCCTCCTCCAGTTGCTCGGCTCGCTGCGATCGCTCCCGCAGCCAATCCTGCTCTACCTCTAGCTGGGTCAGTTTGGCGCTGACGGTGGAGACGCTCTGGTGCAGGGCACGGTTCTCCTCCTCCACCTCCCGCACACGCGCCTCACCCTCCACCTGTGCCCGCTGCCTCAAGGAGGCCACCGTCTGGGCCAGGCGCTCCTTCTCCATCGTCAAGTCGGAGATCTGGGAGGCGGACATAAGGATGTCACAATCACATTCATCAACTAAAGACAAACACTCGTGGGTTCTGTGCCCAGCTGATGTCGGATGCTTCAGCGACCTGTGTGAAGCAGACCGGCGGGAAGTCAGCGCTGCCCCTCGCAGAACCCCGTCGGCCATACCTGGCGGCACTTCTCCGTCTGTACGGCCTCCAGCAGACGCTCCAGCTTCCTCTTCCCCTTCAAGAGCTCCTCCCCTAGACTCCCCATGTCCTGGCTGGTCTGTTTCTCCTGCTCCAGGAGCGTCTGCAGCCTCTCCAGCTTGGAGGACGCAAACACAGCTCACCTGGTCACTCAGTGGCAGGTTCACATGGGAGATACCCCCCCCCCCTCACCAGGCTTACGTGCTGGCAAGGTAGTTGCTATCACTATTGAAACGTGAAGCCTGTTTTTGTTTGCAAGACCTCCCACCCTAGTACCTTTTTACTGAGGCCCTGGTTCTCCTTCTCCAGCTCCAAGGCCCTCAGCTGGCTCTCCTGCATGCTCAGGGCAGCTTCCCGCAACTCCTGGATGGTACCCTGCAGGCCCTGGTTCTCCTTCTCCAGCTTCAGTAGTTGGCTGGATGCCGACTCGTTCAGCTCCAGCACGAAAGACTTGCATGCTGCCGGTGGAAAGGCGGCGTTGAATATCAGTACCAGTCTGTGCTTAGCCTCTGAACCCAAACTGGCCGTTCACTCATCACCACTTGGGCGTTCTGTGTAAAGGACTTGCAGCGATAACAGCAGGTTATTCCTGCTTTGTGTCAGTTTCCGTCTCCACGGACAGCAGGAGTGCTTAACACTCCAGGGCTTGCTTAGACAGCTGACCCTGGCCCACTTCAGGAGAAAATGAGCTGAAACACGAACAGGCATGGAAACAGCGCTTCACCCCAGAGAGAGGTCACATACTTTACAACCAGTTTCCTGAAACATTTTTCCACCATGAGCGAAATAATTGGTGGTGATGTTAGACCCAACACCCGGAAAATGTCTATGGTGACCAGTGAGGTGCCAAAACAAACCTGGTTATGATGGAAATATGTTGGCAATTTCCAAAAATTTCCAGTAGTGACATACAGCAGCCAACCCTGATTAATAGTTTTAACGTCGCATTTTCTGCTTGTGCAGAAGTCTTATTAGCTTCTTGTTTTGTGTGGAAGATGATTGCTTCAATACTGCCCAGGTATAAGTGTAAGCATTCACTGGTCGACTCTCTGACAGCTGTATGTTTCTTATGCGTTATATGCCTCACTTGTACGTCACTTTGGACAAAAGTGTGTGCTAAATGAAAATGTAAATGTGTCGTGTGCCGGTCACAGAGTCTCGGCCAATCAGGGCTCACCTTGGCTGCTCCAGCTCCCAGCCCAGGTGGGCAGACTCGTTCATGCTCCGCTTCTGTGAGATCTCCAGCAGCATGTTCTCCTCCACCAGCTCCTCAATG